TTCTCAGCTCTGTTTCATACAGCAATGTAATGAATTGACGCGACGGATTTCTATTTGGTCATATTGTCACTAATAGCAACTAAATTTATGCCTTTAATGTTAGCAGACAGCCCAGACATCTTCACAGTCAGTCCTTGGTAAATTAATTAAAATTGTATATAAAAGCAACTTATACTTGTGCTGGTCGAGAAAAACATTTGTCTGATGCGTTCCTGAAGGCAACTTCGCAAGTATTACACATCCAAGTGTCTCTGGGTAACCCAATTCCTACACAAGTGTTGTAACGCAGGTACAGAAGTGGAAGACGACTCACAGGAACCCGGTCACAGCTGCGTGAGATGGTTTCAAGAGGACACTGGCTTCTCCGCCAAGTGGAGGAGTTTATGGATCTAGCCAACCATATGTACACCTTCCTCGCCTTCACGGCAGGATGCTGCCTCGTGCCTGGTGCCATCGCTTTATGCATTGGTAAATATGTTTCATACATAGGAACACTATACTACCCATAAACAATATCAACTCTTTCCACGCTACGTACGAGTGAGTATGTTCGAAATTTTTTACAAGAAGGTTACAGAAGATGGAGGCAGGTTTGTAATAAAGAAACATGGGCAAAATTTGATTTGTTCATGAAAATCCGCCATTCCGAAATCGCAGGAGGGTCGGTGTAATGCACTACCAAAACGCCCGTAACTAAGAAACAAATGCTAATTCGATGATGCCGGCTGGCACACCGATTCACTATGAATGTAGGCCGCACCCCCTAGCGGCAGAAGCTCGTACTACATCCGGTTCGCCCTCTATTGACACAAGTCTCTAAACTTTCCGATCGAACCTCGTATATCAAGAGATATCAGTAAATATCAACAATATATCGATACGAAATTATCGATTTTTGTGTTTACAATCGTATCTTCCTCCCCCTTGCACGAAATGTAAGAAGTACAAATCTCACATTACATGAAGATGACTGTCTTTTGGGATGTAGCGTAGTCTGTCACCACCTCGACCTTCTGTAACCGTGGCAAACTATTGCCAGATTAACTACACGGATCAACAAGCCAGAAGACAGCCAAATACGGACTCACCGCCCTCCGAACTTCAAATCTCGCATGACTGATGAAGATTGGATTGTTTCATAGAATTGCGTGAATACTCAAGAAGGATTTTCCTATGCCAGTAACATTTACAACAATAAAGGTTACATATAAGTTGAGTTTTATGGCTGTGTTCATGAAATAATAACACATGCTTGTTTATTCAACTTAATGTCTGATATTCATATTCACGTTATGTTACCACCTATTCATAAGTCTCTTTCATAATATCATGTCTGGCAGTGAATTTCTTATTACCTACTATTATTAAAATTACAAGCTCGGAAAGTTTATTCAGTATTGGAATACACATAACATCCTCATACGTTTTTTACTAAATGCATTTAGAGGTATTACATCAGCCTCGTTTGATATTTTTCACTTCGGCCACCAGATCGCAGCATCTCATTGTCTGCCTCACGAATTTCCTCATCCGTCATTTTGTTAACAGCTGTAGTAGGCAATTCAAAATAAGTTTCTGAGGTCGCGCAGAATAGCACAACCTCGACATTAACTTTCATCCAAATCCGTCCAGTGGTTCTCGAGCTGAATCGACTGGGCACCCGGACGGACAGACAAGACCAGACCAATACCTCCTCGCCATACACTTCATGCAAAGAACGAATAAAAAATATGAATTGGGAACTGGCAATTTGTCCTCAGAGCTGGTGGGACAGAGACAGACCTAATCATTGCATGGAGATCTCTAGTTACTTGACTTTGACGCCAAACTTAATTGAAATCCAGTCCTTAAAATCAAATATCATATATCGGTACTTTAGACGTGTGCATGATAAAGAATTACAGAACAATTTTACCAGGAACGTAGCAGTCAAGTAAGGAAAAGATAGAATTTTGTCAGATTTTTTTTCCTATAATTTCTACGGTCTCCATTCTTGGCCAGTGTTGTTGCTTCTTACCTGATTACATTATTTTAAATCTCACGTAAGTGTGAATCAGATAGTTTGTCCTTGAACGGTTGGCAGGTGTTAAGGGCAGATGCTGCTATTTCCAAAACTTGCCACCCTAGGGAAGTTTGTAGTAAAAGTAACAAAAAGATTTGTAAAAATTAAAGCATTTTAACTGGACGCTGGTGTCTGAGGACAGCTACAATATTTTTAGCTTGGAGACAGAAAAGTCCTGATAACTCATTGGGGTCAAGGTCACAGATTCAGATTTGTGCCATTACTATAAATGATACTTGACTAGAGTAGTTAGAAACAAATCATATAACAATCACGAATTCATTCCAGTACATAAGTGCAATCTCTCAGTGAATGTTTATGCAATTTAATATCTTATTTTTTAACTGGCCATTAAATTCAATGTCTTCAATTTACAAAGCTTGAAACAGAAAATTGTGTTACTAGCATGGGAACTTTAAAAATTTTGGTACTACAAATTCTACCTAGGGATTACGCTGATGCTGAAAATAAGAACATCAGGAAGACGTGCAGTGCACAAAAGACAAAAAAATCCGTCGAAACCCAATTTTAGGAACAGGATATTGGAAATGGACAGAAATCCATGAGTCAGTTCATGTTCCTAGACAAAACAACAGCTTTCAAACACATTGTAGTTGATATAATGCAATTACATACTTTGCTAACAAAATATTGATTTACTTAAAATGATTTTGTCTTAAAAAAAATACAATTAACTTTTAATCTAAATATGTAAGCTCATATAAATAAATCTACACAATCAAAGCAAAAAATTAACACACTTTATTTATAAGTATCAAAGAAAAGAATTTAGAAATGAATAAAAAGGACACATTTTAAAAAAATCCATTCTAAAACAAAAATTACTGTCATCTCATAAAAGGGAGAAATGACATGGACACGAGCAGATATTTAATTAGTTTCATACAAATTATAAACCATTTCACCAACGCTTACTTCATCTTTACAAACCACGCAGATCTTCCATTCAGCGTGCGTTTGTTACACAGAATCTGCCGATTCCATCTCAGCGATACGCGGGAAAAATAAAATGAAAAATACTATACAATATTATAGAAATGTACTGTAAAGCTATTGTAACAATGTATGTAAAACATTGTTTTTTTAATATAAGGTACACTCAACCAATAAATTCATAAACAGTAGGATTTCCACTTTTGAGCAATCTGTTAGGCAAATCACAAAACACTAATTTTAAATTCTGACGCAAATGCTGTTGGTAACAGCCATCAGCAACCAATGATTCAGAGGGACAAAAAAAAGTACATGGAGATATACGATCAATAGCTTTCCTGGCGACTAAATTCAGTGAAGTCTTCACAGAAAATCAGGTGGTCATAAAAAACATATTTTGAGAGCCATCTCTATCACTGCACGTAAAGACTTCGTTGAAGTACGTGGAGAAACGGCAAACAACACCAGTACTGCGGTCTGCAAAGTGCATTATTCTTCTAAAACACAAACTACGAATGAATGTAAATATAACCTTTCAAAAATATATTTCTTTTTTGCAACACTCATTTGTCATTAAAAACAAATAATGATCTGTACATTACACAGTAAAATGTAATGTCTGTTACAATTGAAGATGGTGCACAGTATACTGTCCATATTCTTACAATAACAATGAAAAATGTATCTGAAAACATTTTATAGTTTCTGCAGGGACCCAGCAACATCTAAATTTAGTGCAGTTTTCGTCTTGCATTTTAGGATTATGACTCCAAAACGAAGTTGATATTCAATAAACTCTTCTCAGGCAACTGGTTAAAAGAATAAATTGACATTTTAGGAACCATCTCTGTCCCCATCATCAGGGTTCTGTTATCAGAAATGGTCCCTGATACATCTGTTTCTTCCTTTAACCGATTGACGCGGCTGATAACCCGAGAAGTTTTTATTGAGTTATGTCGCCACGAAAGCCTCAAACCATATAAAAGTTGATAGTCATTAAAACATCCTTCATCCAGTATTACAGCTTCTTAATAACAAACAGTGATGATATAATACAAATATCTGACATTACACATGACTGGCTAAATATGAACCATTAAAGTGCAATTTGAGCCTTTGCTTGAGTTACATTTTAAAGCCACTGCCACATGTACAACAATTAGAATTCATTTTAGGATTGTAGCTAATAGTCAAATATACACATTATCATGATTAAACATAGTTTACATGAAATTCATTATTATCTAGTCATAAGTTCATATTCTAACGCAATTTTATTGAAAAATTTAAAAGCAACGAAGTTTAAATCAGATACTTTTTAGCACCTTTTCGCATAATGTAGAACAGAAACCCCACATTCCCTGAAACATTAACAGTCTGTTCATTTAAATATATGATTCCACTGGGAGAGAGGGAAAAAAAACAGCTCCACATAGTTTACTTAAGAAATGAAAAGTGATCATCAGCGCAAATGTGCAGTCAGAGGTCTTCCAACTCCTATTCTCACATGCCGTTTATAATAATTTATCACCTTATGTCCAGTTATCAGTCAACTATAATCCGGTTAAAAATAATTCAGATGCTATATGACGGCTTGGTCAGATATGACAAAAAAGTGATATATCAGCAGACAAGAATAACATTTTAATTAGCACCAGAACCAATCAATACTATAAGCATACTCTTATCATGTACTTGGAGCACTAGGTACCATAGAACCTTCTATCATAACATGCAAGAGAAATTAAACCATAGTACACAATGCTTTTAAAGGCTGTTTTGGTAGTAAACACAATATGTTGACTTCACATGCTGTAATACGGTAAACATTTATAATTTCTATAACAAAAACAAATATTTTGCTTCTTACTTTCATATGCTACAAATGAAATGAGTTTACAAAGTGAGCCACATTATCGTGCCTTGCTGCCACCTTGAATTTGATTTATTAGTCACATCTCATCT